TCCCCCCCCCACCCATCCCCTGGTGCCCCACTCTCTGACCCTCTCTACCTCCCTATTTCAGTGCCGTGGGTGGCTAAGCTGGCACACTGCCCCCTGTCCCCCAACCATCCAGAGCTCCCTCCCTCTGGATACTCTCCACCCCAGTCCGCACACCCAACCAGCGCTCACCAGACCCATTTCTTACCGGGCCCACTGATCCCCCGTTTGGACCCAGCAGCCTCTGACTGGCAGTTGGTAAAGTTTGTAAAATTTGCAAGTTCCCCAAACCCCTTTGAAAGGTAAAAGCTTTTTGTTTTATAAAATCTGATTTACAGGCCCCCAGTGCAGTCCCGAGGTTTTATATATTATGCAAGATTTCAAACCGAGGCTGTAAAACGTACGGTTTCAGTTTCATGCATGGAATTTTTTTATGTGTAAATTTTTTAACATTTATGGGGCACGTTTTAATGAGACTCTGGTGTGGCTCGAGGGACAGATTATGGCTGCCTGACCGCAAAGCCAGCTCCAAAATGGGGCCCCCCAGACTCCTGGGCCCACTCTAAAGAGGCAGGGCCAGAGGCCGGAGGCTGTGAATAAGGAGACACAGGAAGGAACCAGGCCAGAAGTCTGGGCCCACAGAGACCTCAGGCAGCCCCGTTCAGAGTCATTCACTTCAGGCTTCAGTCCCACGGTCCCTACATAGGGACAGAAAAATCTTACCAACACCAGGAAAGGGAAAGCAAATAAGGATAATCAAAGCTAGTCATGATTAACATTTATAGAGCACTTACCAGGTGCCAGGTGCCATTCTAAACACCTTACAGATATTATCTTATTTAATCCTGTTTTCAAACCCACGAGGTAGGTTACAAGTATTATTATTATCCCCATTTAAAGACGAGGAGACTGAGACACAAGGTGGCATCACTTAGTTCAAGATCACACAGCTAGTCCAAGGCAGAGGCCCGAGTCAGATACTGCACAGGTCTCGAACTCCAGCGCCCACACTCTTACCCGTCATGCTGACTTCTAGCTACTCTTTCTCTAGTGCTCTGGATGCACCAGCTCTTGTTTTTAGTTCTTTCTAGATGCATCTCATTTAATCCTCAGTACAACTCTGGGGAAGTTGCTATTATTATCCCATCTTACAGGAAAAATGAGGAAAGTAAAGTCTGGAGATTAAGTAAGTTGTCCAGAATTTCTCAGTGGGTGAAAGACCCCAGAGACTCAGCCTCCAAACCCCATTGTTCTTGACCACCCTTCTCTATTCAGTTCTCGTAATAGCCCCATGAGGTAGTTATTGACATCCCCACTGTACAGAGGAGAAAATCAAGGAGTAAGGGTCCCACAGCCGAGCTGGGATTTGCACCAAGTGGGTCTAATTCCCAAAGCCCACCTCTTTCCCCCGAACCACTTGCTTCTCCAAATTCTGAGGACATCAGAGGAGAAGTGTCGCCTTATTGACTAAAACGTCATTTAGCTGGTCATGCACGATGGCTTCCATAGCCGTTCGTTTTATCCCCTAATCGTCTGGCAGTTCTCGCACCTCCAGTCTTCACCTTTTCTTCCACATCCTGCTCCTTGTTCCAGTGACGCTGCACTTCCAACTGCTCAGATCCAGCCGGTCTGGTCGAGAACAACTCCTGATTAGAATTTAGCTTT